CTAAGCTATTCATCAGTCCTGTCTGTTTTGTCTGTTGTTTGTTTTGTTTTTCAAGAAAGGGTTTCTCTGTGTAATAGCCCTAGCTGTCCTGGAACTGATATTGCAAATCAGGCTGGCCTCAAATTCAGAGATCCGCCTGCCTCTGCCTCTGAGTGCTGGGATTAAAGGTGTGCACCATCACTGCCCAGCTCCTTCTGTTGTTTTTTGTTGAGACAAGATCTCCCTGGTCTTGAACTCTGGGCAATCTCCTGCCTCAACATCCCAAGACCTTGAATAACAAGTGAGTCACCATGCCCACTATCTCTGGGTTCTGACAGCTGGGAAGACAGACAATCTCCAAGAGGAAACTCATCTTCTATCTTCAGGAAGCATTATTACCACCACCCACTGGTCCTTCACTTCTGTCAATCCCTAGACAGCCCTTCACCCATATCCTTTCAAGGTCTAGAATATTAGTACATCAACAAAGACTATGTATGAGATAATGCTAACCCTAACATAGAAAGGGTACTGTGAGGCAAGGAAAGAAGGCAGGAACCTCCGAGACTCTCAGAACTTAGTATTCCTTAGCACTAGAAGCTTGTGGCTCATTCCGGATAGACTTCACATGCCCAGAACCAGAAGCAGGGTAGGCTTTTGGTTTGTTTGTTTTTAGATTTTTATATTTGTGTATGGGTGTTTTGCCTGCATATTTATACATCATGTGAGTGCGGTGCCCAAGCAGGTCAGATGAAGGCGCTGGATCTCCTGGAACTGGAGTTACAGATGGTTGTGAGCCACCATTTAGGTGTTAGGTATCAAAACCAGGTCCTCTGGAAGAAGAGTGTTCTTTCTTTCTTTCTGTTTTGTTTGGTTTTTTAATACTCACTGGTGCTTTGCTTGCATGAGGGTGTCGCGTACTCTGGAACTGGAGTTACAGTCATCTTTTTAAAATTATTATTATTAACTTATATATATTAGTGTTTGGCCTGTATGTGTGTCTGTGTGAGGGTGTTAGATCCCCTAGAACTTGAGTGACAGACAGTTGTGAGCTGCCATTGTACTGGGACTCAAACCCGGGTCCTCTGGAAAAACAGTCAGTGTTCTTAACTGCTGAGCCATCTCTATAGCCCAAGCTGATTATTAGTAAATTAGAATATAAAGAAAGGTGGACCGAATGCTTGGAACCTTATCCTTAAGTGTCTAACTACAACTCAGTGTCAACAGCACTGGTTAAATTCTATCTTCTTTTACTTCAGGAAACTAAAAAGCCAAGTAAATCTCTAACACAAACCACTCGTTTTTTTTTTGTTTGTTTGTTTGTTTTTTTTGAGACAGGGTTTCTCTGTAGTTTTTGGTGCCTGTCCTGGAACTAGCTCTTGTAGACCAGGCTGGCCTCGAACTCACAGAGATCCGCCTGGCTCTGCCTCCCGAGTGCTGGGATTAAAGGCGTGCGCCACCACCACCCGGCCAAACCACTCGTTTTTAATGTAGCACTAATTACTTTTATTTATTTGATTAATGAAACATTAGTAACTGAAACTCCTGCACAGGTACCTCCATCCAAAGCCACAGAGAGACAGCAGCTTCTACCAGTATCTGATGTATGCACATACAAGCACACACCACACAGAACCTGGCTGGAGAGCTCAGGAGAAGGCTCAGAGTACTTGCCATGCAAGCATACAGATGGAGTTCAATCCCTAGCAGCCACACAAAAGCTGAGTATGGCTGTGTGTTTATAATCCCAGCACTGGGGAGGCAGAGATAGGTAGTTCACTCAAGTTTGCTGGCTGACCAGTCTATCCTTATAAGTGAGTCCCTAGTCCTAGCAAAACACCTTGTCTTAAAAACAAGGTGGATGACTCTGGAATAACAACATCCAAAGTTAACCTGGCTCTATTTGCACCCACAAAAACAATCAGGAACAAGGACCCTAAAATCCTGAAAACAGGCAGAGCCTATCTATAGTATGCAAAGACCCCATGCTCATTCCTAGCACTAAAAACCACACTGCATATACAACTATATGACTAACTAAACCACCATGGACATTTTTTTGGTGGGGGGAGGGCTGTCAAGACAAGGTTTCTCTGTAGCTCTGGCTGTCCTGGAATTCACTCTGAAGACCAGGCTGGCCTCGAACTCAATCTGCCTGTCCCTGCCTTCTCCCACCATACCTGGCTTTCCAGTGTAGCCTTTTTTATTTTTTTTAAGATTATTTATTTATTATGTATACAGTGTTCTGTCTACAGGCCAGAAGAGGGTACCATAATTCATTATAAATGGTTGTGAGTCACCATGTGGCTGCTGGGTATTGAACTCAGGACCTCTGGAACAGCAGCAAGAACTCTTAACCTCTGAGTCATCTGTCCAGTCCTCCATTGTGTTCTTGAAATTATTTCAATACTCAATGTCTTCATAAGGAAAATTAAACCATTAATACTAGGTAAAAGGCACCCTTCCCCTCATGCACATAATCAATGTTTGAAAGCTGTTGCTATCATCTGTACTTTCTTGGCATGTTAGAGAATCTAAACCACCTGAGAAATGAAGACATAATGTAGTAATAAAATAAAACCACTGATCGCAAAAACTATCTCCAAAGTAATATTTACTTATTTCCATCTATATTTGGGAAATGCCAATTCACTATTTAAACAACAACAACAACAAAAAATAGCATGTTCCAGGTTGTGGAATCATAATCCCAGACCCACAAAACAAAACAAAGGAAACAGTCAGTCACACTCTGTGGTAGTTTGAATAGGAATGATCTCCACAGGCTCACATGTTTGAATGCCTGGCCCATAGGGAGTGGCACTATTAAGAAGTGTGACCTTTAATGCCAGCACTCACAGGTGGAGTTCTGTCAGTTCAAAGCGAGTTCCAGGACAGCCAGGACTGAACACAGAGAAACCCTGTCAGGAAAAGCCACCCCCACCCCCACCCCCCAAAAGAGGTGTGGCATTGTTGAAGTAGGTGTGGCCTTGCTGGAGGAAGTGTGTCACCGTACACACGTGAGCACTGAGGTCCCATACGAGAGGCGTGTTGACACAGTTTCCATCTGCTGCCTGTGGATCAAGATGTAGAACTCCCAGCTCCTTCTCCAGCACTATGTCTGCCTACATAGCCCCATGTACGGTCATGATGATAATGGACTAAACTTCTGAACTGTAAACCACTGCAAGTAAATGTTTTCCTCTTTAAGAGTTTCCACAGTCATAGTGTTTTTTTCCTTTTCTTTTTCGTTTTTCAAGACAGGGTTTCTCTGTAGCTTTGGGGCCTATCCTGAACCTAGATCTTGTAGATTCACCTGCCTCTGCCTCCCAAGTGCTGGGATTAAAGGTGTGTGCCAACACCGCCTGGCCATTGTGTTTCTTTACAGCAATAGAAACTAAGAACACTTCATGATTTTAAAAGGTTAAGATAAAAAGTTCAAGCCCAGGCTGGGCGGTGGTGGGGCACGCCTTTAATCCCAGCACTCAGGGAGTAGAGGCATGAAACTGTATCAGGGGAAGAGGCAGGTAAATCTCTGGGAGTTCATGACTAGCCTGGTCTACATAGTGAGTTCCAGGACAGCCAGGGCTACACAGTGAGACCCTGTGGGGACTGGCAGGGGGAGGGGGGCGCGTTAGGATGGGACTCAGTAGTAGAGTTTGCCTACCAAATGAAAGGCCATAGGGCCTGGTTGGGCAATGATTACATGTTCACCTTGCACCCAGTGTCCTATCCTTAGTTCACAGCCCTTCCCAATAAGCATACTGCAAACACAGTAGAACAACCGTGACTGCTGTTTCTGTTACAGCCAACACTCTTCTCAGAGTGCTGTGTTTTGGTTTTCACCTTTGTCTTTTGACCAAGGTTAGTTTTCAAATTTAAAAACATTAAATTTTTCAAAAGTATAAATACAAATTATTTGGTATTCCAAAGTATAAGTAAAACTGACTCTACAGGCAGCAACAAAGAAAGCATTTGTCTCCTTCATGGGTAACTGAAGGCGCTTTGAAGATTACAAATCAAAGTCCCTACCGCTGCTGGCCTCTGCAACAGGAATTATGAGTAAAGGGAGAACTGTGTTGAGACAGGCTGTTAACTTCCTGTGTCAAGTATCACAAACAGCTGTTAGCACCAACTGAAGCATAAAAATCATAGTTACATAAAAATAACTTTTAATCATAGTTAGCATAAAAATCATAATAACAATCTACCATTCAAGAATTTTTGAATTGGGGTTGGAGAGATGGCTCAGAGGTTAAGAGCACTGGCTGCTCTTCCAGAGGTCCTGAGTTCAATTCCCAGCAACCACACAGTGGCTCACAACCATTTGTAAAGAGGTCTGGTGCCCTCTTCTGGCCTGCAGGCACACACGCAGACAGAAATACGGAAAATACTGTATACATAATAAATAAATAAATCTTAAAAAAAAACCACACACTTGCCACAACCTATCACCTTCTTCTGATCTCTGAGATACCAGGTATGCACACAGTATACATAAATACATTCAGGCAAAACATCCACTAAATAAATCTAAAATGATTATGCTTCTAAAAGCACCAATTTATTTTATTTTTAAGTTTTAAATATTTTCCAACAAAAATGCATTAAAACTCTCATTTTCTGAATTAAAAAAAAATCCTAGCACTCAGGAGGAAGAGGCAGGCAGATCTCTGAGTTCACCAGTCAGATTTACAGAGCCAATTCCAGGACAGCTAGGGCTACAAAGAGGAAGAAGAAAAGAAAGAACGGAAGGAAGAAAGGAAGAAAGAAAAAAGAAAAATAGAAAAAAGTCAATTATGTTACTCTATTTAATAAAGAACATCTCATTTACTGGCCTGAAAGCAAAGACCTATAACCTCAGCACTGAGAAAGCAAAAGTAGGAGGAACAAGAGGACAAGGTCAGCCTGAGCCACAAAGCAAGATCCTGTCTCAAGGGAGGGAAAAGTAAGTCTGTGTAATTGCTGGAGTGAGTCTATTATACCAGGAGGGCTAGGGTGACTTGGAAACCAAAGCCTACCTCTTCGTGCGTAATTGGAGTCTGTATCTTTAAATTGAACTACAACGAAGTCTGAGCATTTGAACAAAATACTCTCCATTATTTCTTCACGTTTTGGCCCCGAACTGGATTCTGTACTTTTCTCGTGTGCAGCATCAAGTACCAAATCACACTAAATAAAAAAATTAATAAACATTAAAAACATTATTAGATAATATTTACTGGGATATTTAGCTCATCAAAGCAAAAGTAAGCATCATGAGAAAACCTGACCATCATTGTCCTGTTTAGAAATGTAATCTGTCATGCACCCAAATTCTAGAACTCCTCAGAACTAAAAGCTATTATAGTCTTATAACTATCTTGTTATAGTGTATCTGAAGTACACTAGTGTTAACAGAGAGAAGTAACTCAGCACACATCTCGGTAGCTGACAAAGCTGAAAATGGTTGCGTATCATTAACACATACACTATTTTCAGATATACAAATCAGTCATTAAATAATAAGAATTTGTTACGAGAGAGAAAAATTCAAGTGGTTTTTAAAACTGGATAGATTGGGTGGTGAGCAGCAAAATACCATCTCATGAGCTCAACTGCCAGATCCACAGTAAGCTCAGACCTATTACATTCTCAGGAAATGGCATGACCATACAAAGATGACCAAATAGTAAAAATTACCTTAGGACTGTATGTTTTAAAAACACCTTCATATACACCTCCATTTTTCACTTGTACTTCACATTTCGATCCCTAGAAAACACAATTTTTTTTAAAAATAGTGTGCTACCTCACTAACAGAGAGAAGTGTTTTCATTTCACTTTATATTAAGACCTCATTCAGGATTGGATATTGACAAGCAATGATAAGGTTTCAACACATTAACATTACACTGAAATCTTTATATGGTACAGAACTGGCAACTCCAAAATATGAACTGGATACTAAAGCTACATATTTTTCTGTCCACACTACCATTAGATAACAAAATATTATACAAAAAAGAATCAGCTATAAACACTATTATACATACAGCATGGTGAGCAAGAATATTTTTACCGAGTTATAATAAATTGAAAATTATTCTAATGTATTTTTAAAATCATCTTCATTAAGTATGGCCTAAAAATATTAGGCTGAGACATGCTCTCTACATTTTAACTCTATGCAATATTCCACCCCAAAGGAGTTAATCCCCAATAATACGGTAACTTACAACCACTGATGTAAGTATATGAACCATCCTCACGTTTGCATAAATTCCATCAAAAGAAATCTGAAAAGTTTGAAAAATAAACACAATTACCAGTTAGTATTTGTACTTGTCTGTATTGTAAAGCTACCACTTTTCTAGCTGTAAGATGTGTGGATTATAATAAATTAAAGAAGAATTGGTTACAATCATATTTTATTTCCTTAGAGAACAGAAAGGTAAGAGTTTTAAACAATGAAATCAAACAACCATTCTAACTAATAATTAATATGACATAAAACAAGCAAAAACAGCAGACGGATACCTCCAAGTATGAGAAAACAAAAACCTCTGAGGAAGACAAACCAGTAGGGGACAGAATTTGCACAGCTGCCAGGTAGGTAAATGTCATGCTGTCTTGGGTGTAGTATTGGCTGCAGAATTATAAACTTTAAAAACTCTAGTCACATCCAGGCGTGCTTGCGCACACCTTTAATCCCAGCATTCTGGAGGCAGAGGCAGGTGGATCTTTTTGAATTTTAGGTCATCCTGGTCTACACAGTGAATTTCCAAGCTAGCCAGACTCTATATTAAGACCTTGTCTCAAAAATTAGGGACTGGTGAGATGGTTCAGTAGGTAAAGACATAATGAGTCTGACTTCCTAAATTCAATCCCCACAAAGTGGCCCTCCAACTACCACACCCACTATCCCCACACTAAAAAAAATATACACTGCGAAAGAGTCAACCATCAGCTAGACTAGAGAGTATCTGGATGAAAGAGTGCTTGTCTAGCACATTAAAGAGCCTACGCTCCAATTCCAGCACCAAGGGCAACTGGGTAGTGAGGAAAGACCTCACAATCTATGTCCTGAAAGGGGTGCAGTACATCTTAACAAAGTAGGAGTGCTGAGCAGGACACACTGTACCACCAGCTTCTCTCAGCATGTTTAAATCAAGGCAACAGAACTATTCCTGGCAGAAACTACACAATGGTGTGTTCTCCTGATTCTCAGGAAGATAATCTGACCAATAAAGATCATATTTGAAAACCCAGTGGTGATGAATATGGTGATGCACACCTTTAATTCTAGGAATTGGGAGGCAGAGACAGGTGGATCTCTGAGTTCAGAACAGCCTGGTCTACAGTGAGTTCCAGGTCAGACAGGGCTATTACACAGACAAACCCTACCCCCCTCCCAAAAAAAGCCAGTAGTAGCAGCACACACCTTTAATCCCAGCATTTGGAAGGCAGAGGCAGGCACATCTCAGTGAGTTGGAGGCCAGCCTGGTCTACAAAGAGAGTTCCATGACAGAGAAACCTGTCTTGAAAAAAAAGGGGTGGGGGGATAAAAGGAAACAAAACCCTTCAATGGCCACCAGATCGCTGTGCGTTTAAAAACTCGCCTGGTTAGCCAGGTGGCGGTGGTTGCACAGTCCCTGCACTCGGGAAGCAGAGGCAGGCAGATCTCTGTGAGCTTGAGGCTAGCCTGGTCTACAGTGAGTTCCAGGTCAGACAAGACTGTTACACAGAAAAACCCTAACCCTATCTTGTAACCTTAGTTATAAGAGCTAGCTCCAGGCCAGGAACCAAAGCTACAGAGAAACCTTGTCTCAAAAAACAAACAAACAAACAAACACTCAAATTAGCCTGGTCTATATAAGTTCCAGACCAGGCAAGGCTACACAGTAGATCCTGTCTCAAGAAACACCAACCAGTGGCAGTTTCTCATATGGAACTATATGCTCTTTGTGTTCGTTTTAACTTGACTGATAAAGTTGGAAAATGGTAGATCAGAAGGTGTTTCCCAGGTGAAAGGAGTTTTAACAGACAGCACATTAATTCAAACAAAAAGCCCAAAGAACGTTACAAACTCTGGTCCTAAAACATCAGAACACTTAACTTGGTATCAGTATTATACACAACACAAACACTATTAACAGAAAATTGTACATTTCATAGTGTCCTCACTAAAAAGCAATATAGAATCAATAACTTTGTATTAAACTGGTACATCTATAGCAAAATTCAAGAGATTTTATTCTTAGCTTTATTACTAGAGCTACGGTTAGAAATCACACTTTATATATTTTTATAAATAACATAGAAGTTACTCACCGTAGGCTGAGGCAGTCCTTTGCTACTGTTCCGACCTCTGTAAAGATTAAATATGTTTTTATTAAATTCAGAACTACAAATTTTTAAATTTAAACTATAATCTTATAATTTAAACTATAATTCTACTCAAATACAGGCCAAGCTGTCTGTGGAAGGAGCCATCTAACCCTCAGTGACAGGAAATCTAAGTGGCTGTGTGTTGTGCTACCTATCAGGCCTGGGAGAGATCACCACAGACAGGGAAGAAAGACAAGACTGGTGTTTTATCAAAACAAATGGATGAATTAGAATAGTGGTGCTCAGCTGGAGAGATGGCTCAGAGGTTAAGAGTACTGGCTGCTCTCCCAGAGGTCCAGAGTTCAATTCCCAGCAGCTACATGGTGACTCACAACAATCTGTAATGAGATTTGGTGCCCTCTTTTGGCCTACAGGCACACATGCAGACAGAACACAGTATACATAATAAGTAAATATCTTTAAGAAAAAAGATCCATTTTGTGCCGGGCAGTGGTGGTGCATGCCTTTAATCCCAGGACTCGGGAGGCAGAAACAGGTGAATCTCTGTGAGTTTGAGTCCAGTCTGGTCTACAGAGCGAGTTCCAGAACAGGTTCCAAAAGCTACAGAGAAACCCTGTCTTGAAAAACAAACAAAAAAAAGAAAAAAAAAGAAAAGGAAGGAAGGAAGGAAGGAAGGAAAAAAAATTCTTGGGTTGTCAGACTTGGTGGCAGTGTCTTTACCCACCGAGTTATTCTTCCAGGTGTCCAGAACATTTCATCTGTGAAGCAGAAGGTTACAGAATCCCTGAAAGAAATGAGTAGTTGTCTGACCTAAGCCATGCTTTTCTAATTATGTGAAGGTGAAGAACAGAACAGTTGGAGAATAGGTAGATTAGGACTGCTGCAGAGTTAGTTCCTGGTAGTGTGGCTGCCAAGGATATGGCAGTATTGCTCTCTGTTTTTAGCACCCAAAGTTTGCTATTTATTGAATATTTCAAATTTTGACTTAATTGGAATGTGTGATAATAATATAATGTGATTGCAGGGGCTGAACAGAAGGCCCAGTGGTTAAGAGCACTGACTGTTCTTGCAGAGGACCTGGGTTTGTTTCCCAGCACTCACATGACTGCTTATAATTTTTTGTAACTCCAGTCCCAGGGAATCCAATGCCCTCCTCCAGCCCCCATGAACCCTAGACATGCACAAGGTGCACAGACATACAGGCAGGCACTCATCCACCAACAGTGTTAAAATGGGACTCCACTTTGTGTAACAGAGATACAGTATTTCTTGTTACTGTGAGGACTTAGTCTTTATACTGTACAGCCATTCTCTAAATGGGTTCTATTCCAGACTTGTAGATTGAACTGACCGAGGATGGAAAGGGTTGGTGGACTGACTGTACCAATACTAAATGTATGACCTGTTTTTCCCCCTTGTCATTCTCTAAATAGTACAATCATATTTATATGGCATTTACATTTGACTGGATATTTAAAATAATAAACAAGTATGTGAGTCATGCAAGTACTGTATAAGGGATTGAACATTCTTGAATTTTGGTTCTGATGGGGTCTTGGATCAATCCCCCAGAGTACAAAGGAACCATGGTACTGTTTATTATGATTCAGTTCACTTGAAAATAGTCCATATTACAAGGCACCTTGTAATTAATTAGGCTATCAAATGATAGCCAGGTCTTGTGTAGGTTTTGTTTGTTTCTACAGTGCTGGAAACTGAGTTTAGGGCTCAGACACATTAAGCAAGCCTTTTCTACCACTGAGCTCTATTCCCAACCTGGTGCCTGAGTTTTGTGAACTGTGTCTTTTCCAAGGGAGAGGGTTGGCAAAGAAAAGCATCTGTTGGACAATTCCTGATTTTGACAGTGTAGCCCAGACTAGCCTAAAAAAATCAAGATCCTACTGCCACAGGTCTGCCGTATCACAATGCCAATTCTGTCAGAATTATTTAGTGTTTAAACATTTATTTACTCTGTGTGTTTGTCACAGCATACATGTAATCAGAGGACAGTTTATAGGAGTTGGTTCTCTCTGGTCATGTATGGGTTCTGGGGATTGAATTTAGTTTATTAGGCTTGGTAGCAAGTGCTTTTACCTGCTGAGCTTTCTGCCTGTTTTAACTTATTTTTAAATAACTTTTCTACAGTTACAGGCATATTACGTTTTAGAGACAGGGAAAAATGAGAGATGATTGGGGTATCAAGTCAAATATGTTGATTACAATTGTGCCATCATACCTTGCATTTAAGAATGCTATTGCTTTGTGTTTAATGTCATTTTTTTTTCTTTCAGTGTACTTGTTTGGGGTGGGGAGATGAGGTCTTAATTTGTAATCTTAACACTCAGCGGGTAGAAGCAGGATCAGGAGTTCTAGGTCTGGACCACAAAGATGGCTCAGTTTTTAGGGTGTATTTACTGTTCTTCCAGAAGACCAGTTAGCTGGTCCAGAACACCAGCATCTACACGAGGTGGCTCACAAGCCTATAACTCTAGTATCAGGGGATCTAACTCCCTCTTCTAGCCTTCACAAGCATTACATACATACACACAGATACAAAGATACACACATAGACTGAAATTGAAATTTATGCCCTGGCAATGCTAAAGCACACATGGGCAGCCTGTATATGGTGGTTCTGTTGAACTTGTCCATATTGGGTTTCGGGCGGTGCTGGCACACGCCTTTAATCCCAGCACACGGGAGGCAGAGGCAGGCGGATCTCTGAGTTCGAGACCAGCTTGGTCTACAAGAGTTAGTTCCAGGACAGACTCCAAAGCTACATAGAAATCCTGTCTCGAAAAAAACAAACATAATAATAATAATAATACATATTGGGTTTCATGCTCTGAGTTGATGAGGACGACTGACCAGGTCTCTTCCTTGAGAGGGCACTAGATCTCATTACAGACCGTTGTGAGCCACCATGTGGTTGCTGGCAATTCAACTCAGGACCTTTGGAAGAGCAGACAGCGCTCTTAACCCTTGAGCCTACATAGACTTAAACATGGAATCTTAAAAACAGAAGCAAGTCAAGACCAGCCTCAGCTATACAGGAGCTGGATCCCAGCCTAGACTATATGAGAACCTGTCTTTAAAAGAGCCAATTCCACCGGGCAATGGTGGCGCAAGCCTTTAATCCCAGCACTTGGGAGGAAGAAGCAGGAGGACCTCTGTGAGGCCGAGGCCATCGTGGTCAACAGAGTAAGTTCCAGGGCAGGCTCCATAGCTACTGAGATACCCTGCCTCGAAAAACGAAAAACAAACAAAACAAAAAAAGAGCCACCACCTCCTCCTCAAGGGTCTAGCTTGGTTAATGGTTAATGGATGGAACCAGAAAAGATCTTATTGAGTAAGGAAACCCAGACCCATAAAGACAAATGTCACAAGGCCTCTCTTATCTTATCTTAGGTGTCTGTTTCCCAGATATGAATAAATATCCTGGAGCAACTACAGAAACAAGGAAACTAAAAAGGGACCATTGAGACTAGTTGAAGGCTGGAGGATCTCTGTGCGTTGAAGGCCAGTCCGATCAGCACAGCGAGTTTGAGTACTTGAGTACAGCCAGGACTACACAGACACCCTTTCTCAAAAGAGAGAGACAGAGACAGAGACAGAGAGAAGAAAGGGGAAAAAGTACCACTTATGGGTTAGGGAGTAAGAGAGGGGCATAGAAGGCTACAAGTGATTTGATCAGGGAAATAGAAATGGAGGGTGTGGAGTGCCTCTTTAGGGAGGTAAATACAGAAGGAGGAAAGTGAGTAACAGTAAGGCTATCTGAAAAAGTCTTAAGGAATCAAAAAAAACCTACAAACATGTTACATGTAAGTCTGTATATAAATATACATACATACTTTATAAACGAACTTTTCTCAGGCTGCCAACGCTTTCTCCAAGAGCCAAAGGCAACCTAACAATAACCCCAACACACAGACATGAGAAGCCTTCTGAGTTGTTGGTCAAGGATGTCCAAAAGACTCCTAAAACATACAGCCTATTGCTATTGCCCTGGGGTAATCCCCAGAGGTACAAGGTAAGTCTCTACTGCTGAAAACACCATACACTTCAGAAATAGGACCCAGAAAGCTTCTGAGTTCAAACTGACCTGAATGCCTCTTCCCTGAGGACTAAATTTCCTGGTACCAGAAGGTACCATGTAAGCTTACAAAGAAGGCAAACAACTAATAGTCCTACTCAGTTATGAAGCATAGGAACCACAAAGACACTCTAAGGGTACAGTAGTGGCATGTATACCTTGGCTGTAAACAAAACGTCTCTAATTGGACTTAAGAAAAAACAAACAAACAAACATGTCTGGTACTGGAAACCTAGCCAACTTACTCAGTGCTAGTGAAATTGTGACTCAGTGTACCTATGGTTCTGTACTAAAACAGGGTAGTCACTAACAATTTTAAGTCTTTGTCTTTATGCCCACAGATAAGTGTAGTAGTCCTCATCCTTCACCCAGGAAAACTTCTTTGCAACAGACAGAGACCATTACAGACACACACAACCCATCAAAATGCAGCATTGTAGAGTCCAGTACAAATGGATACATCTATAAAACATTCCTGCACCTAATGCTCAAGGAACTGTTGTAGACAAGGTAGCAAGATTGCAAGAGCCAGAGAATCAGGGAGTTTGCTGTGAGATTGTGTTTCCTAGGAATGTCACAAGCTATACCCATAAAGTTTCACCGACTTGACTGTCTAAACATGAGCTAAACACTGACAGACACGCCAAAGTGGATGGGAGACAGCCAATTAGGCCTCAACCTTACACAAAGAACTACAAACAACTTAGACTGACGTTGAGTGGGAGAAACAGTTTTTCTTTCAGGAAAGTGCACACCAACTGGTTATCAATACCAAATGGTCCCCTGACAACATACACAGGAGAAGCATACAGACTGATCAAGTTATATTTAGGAATATGTTCATAAACAAATATGTACTCAATAACAATGAGAAAAAAACAGACCATGAATTTGAAAAAAGCAAGGAGTAATTGAGAGGTTCAGAAAATGAAACAAAATTATTATCATATCAAAAACAAAAGAAAGAAAAATATCCACTGAGTATGGTGCCTTTAATCCCAGGAAGCAGAAGCAGGAGGATCTTTTTGAGTTCAAGGTAAGGATGTCTTCATAAGGGAGTTCTCAGCCAGTCAAGGCTATATAGGGAGACTTTGTCTCAAAAACAGAAACAAACAAGAAAGGGGGGGGGGGGCACAGGCTCAGTGGTTGAAGCCAAGTTTTAGGACAGCCAAGGATGCACAGAGAAATCTTGTCTTCAAAAACTTTAAAAAAGAAAATTCAATTTTATATAACTATGTCTCACTAATTTGTAGAATGAACAGCGGGCCGCTTCCCGCCCGACTAGCTTTACCCGAAATAATTATATGGAAACTGTATTCTTTTAAACATTGCTTGGCCCATTATCTGTAGCCTCTTATTAGCTAACTCTTACATATTGATCTAACCCATTTCTAATAATCTGTGTAGCACCACGAGGTGGTGGCTTACCAGGAGGATTCTAACCTGCAGCTGTCTTGGAGAGGAGGGTCATGGCGACTGCCTCACTTCCCTTCTTCCCAGCATTCTGTTCTGTCTACGCCGCCTATCTAAGTTGCTGTCCTATCAAAAGCCAAGGCAGTTTCTTTATTAATTAACCAAGGAAAGCAACACATAGAAACAAGGCTCTCCTATATCACTAATTTCCTCCACCTTTTCAATCATTAACTCAGCTCTAATTACCATTTACT